TTTCTAATTCAGAGGGTATATAGTTTCCCCTAAACCATTATGTAAAACTATACACAGCTAAAAGAAATCAAAGGAACAGATAACAATTGTGCTTTTTTCTCTCTGCTTACACCCACTCCCTCATTTACAAAAGGAAATCATCATTAGCTCACTCTTCCAAGGCTGTCCCTTGTTACTTTGTTTGGTTTAAAAGAAATGCTCTTAAGAAAAATTCCTTACATTTCTACAGTTTTTTTACATTTGACAATAGATTTTCATACACTTTGTGGGATGGTGATTTTTTTCCCTTTAAGTTCTGTTGCGAGCTTTTAAAAACAGCTGTTTTGAGGTATCATTTACATACAATAAAATTCACCCAGATTAAGAGCACATCACTTTGGTAAATGCTCACAGCCATGTCTATGTTCAAGGTGCATTTTCTTCACCAATTTCCCAGGCCCCTCTTGGGAGGTAACACACCCCTCCAATTTCCAGCGAGTACAGATCTGCTTTCTGTCACTAAAGTTTGCTTTTTTTTTTAGAATTGCATATAAATTGAACAATATGGCATGTAGTCTTCTGTGTCTCAATTTCTCACCAGACCTCAAAGATCTGAGATTCACCCATTTTTCTGTGAGTATTTGAAATTTTTTTCTACTGCTGACTAGCATTTTGCTCTGTGACATTCTGTGTTTTGGTTCCTGAGGGTAATGCTGTGGGCATTTCTGTACAAGACTGTGTAGAAGTGTTTTCATCCCTTTTGGGTAAATATCAAGGAGTGGAATTGCTGGAATTCCTGGAAACATGTTTAGTTTGCTGCTAATTCTTTGTGCAAGGATGTTTTGACTCATCACAAATATTCCATGCCAGAGGAAGCCTCTCTGTCTTCTTTATAGCTAAGGAAACTGAGGCTTGAGGAGTTTGGTGATTTACTCAGAATTTTCTTCTATAAATGATGGACTTGGTAAGACTAGAAACTTGCCTTTTGGGTTGTTTTATATTTTCTTTCTTTAAAAAATTTTTGTCTTAATATAAGAATATAATTGTTTCAAAAAATTAAAAATAAAAGGCATATAAAGGAAAAAGATCTTTTAGTATTTCTTCTGCTTAGAAGACACCATTGTTAATATTTAAAAATATCATTTCTGGTTTATGTTTGTGTATCTGTGAGTTTTTTCTTACAAAATGGTGAGGTTGTACATGATCTTCTGTGACTTCATAGTCACACAAAATTATGAGGGTCATCTTCCTCACTACCCTGGAGATCTTTTTATAGCAATAAATATACACTGATTCCTTCCTTTCGGTTCTTATTTTTTATTTATTTTATTATTTTTTTAAAGATTTATTTAGTTATTTATACAAGCACTGGGTACAGTCAGAAGCACGGGAGGGTGAGAGAATTCACCAGAGCCAGAGCGGGGAACAGAACAAGCAGAATGACGAAGTACACTGCTGAGGGGAGCAAGTGGGCAGCAGGAGAGGTCTGCGCGCCATGTGGGACCCTCACCTGGTGGCCGGGGATCGAACCGGCACTACAGAGACTGCGGGCAGCTTCGCAACCCAGCGCTCAACCGCTGCGTCACCGGGGAGGCCCCTTATTTTTTATTTTTAAAGATTTATTTATTTATGCATACTTCAAGAACTGGGGTATAAGGCAGAGGTGAAGGTGGTGGGAGATTCACCAGACACAGAGTGGGGAGCAGAACAGGCAGATCTACTGAAATACACTGCTGAGGGGAGCAGCAGGCGAGACAAAAGAGGACTGCTGCTCCATGTGGGTTGTTCCCTGGCTGGGGATCAAACTTGTGCTGTAGTGGCTGGCAGTAGCTTGATAGCACTGTCTTTAAACCCTGCACCACCAGGGAGACTGTCTTATTATTATTTTTTTTAAATTAAGGTAACATTGCTTTATACCATTGTGGTAACTTTCGGGTGTACAACATTATAATTCAAGTACATCATTTTAATCAATTGGTTCATATTGGTTGTTGAATCATTATATCAATAATTGAGTATGGCTCTTCATATTGATGGCATATGACTCAGGTTATTTTCAATTGTGTATTATTATTAGTGTTAATCTTGTATTCACTATTAAGAAATTACTTGTGTCTCCATCTATTTCTTAACCATAATTTTACATTTTGAGAGAGTCATTTGATTTAAGATTTGTTGTTTTTCAAAGGCATGACTTTGTTTTCTTTCTGAGTTACACTAGAGAAGTTGCTGAGGAGATTGGACCTGTTGTATATTTGAAGGAATGGAGAAATGGCTTCATGTAAGTGAAGAAATACTTTGTACTTTGTCTCAAATACATATATTTTAAGAATAGCATAACTGTGTTTATTTTAGGTATAAGAAAGAACATGAATAATATTTTTAATAATAACCCCCAATTTACTATTTATTTCTTTTAAATATTAATTGATTTGCCCTCTGGTTTAAAGAAAATATAGCAAATGTTGAACTGACTTTTCTCCATAAAGTTATGTCTTGAGGCAAATATTTTTTCACAAATATTGAGAATTAATAACCAAATTCAATACAATTCTAAACCCAGCTGTACTCATAACTCAAGGTGTGACATTGAGATATTTCTGACTCTTAATACTTGAAAGCACTACCTAGAATCCTATGTCTTATGCCCACTGATGATCTATTATCCTCTATGACTAGATTTTTTTTTTAAATTGAGTATGGAAACCCCCCCCCAAAAAAAAGAGGAACTTAGACTAAAATATTGGCAGCAAAGGGTCTGAAAAAACAAGCTTCCTTTAGCTCTGCAACTCCAGAAGTTTCACTTCTTCATTTCTCCTCTTCTCTTCCCAAACCAGAAAACTGAGAGCACATGGACTCTCTTGAAAATAACTTCAATATCTGAGTATGGGTGGAGACAATGGCAGGGAAAGAACCAATTTGGTGCCCACAAAACTGACCCTGGTAAAAGCAATCCAGTTCCTCTCCAAAAGTGTTGACTCCCAAATTGTCTCTGTGCATTTTTATGGACTAAACTTCTTCCTCTTGAGTTCCCCTAAAGAATAGCTAGTCTTAAAGTCTCTGCCAGGGAAAACACTATACAGGGAAGTCCAAGCAGGACACTCATTTTCACCTAAAATTCTTTTTCCACTCCCATTTCTTCATTTTCTGAAATAAATATTTTTAGAAAATTGAGGCAGAAGGAAGTTTAGATATCATTTAGCAGACTCTCCTCATTTTATAGGTAAGGAAGTAGTTGGAGAATCATTGTTTAGAGTTCATTCTGATCTTTGTTTTCTTTTTGCTCTAAAGATTTAGCTTTGCAATTCTTGGCTTACATAACTCTTTTTGAAAAGGGTTATTTCCTTAGTAACTCCTTGATTCACCATGACTGGCCAGGATTTTCTAGCAGAAAAATATTTTTTTCTTTAATGGAAGGAGAGTTAACCCCCTCAGTACTGTTTGAATTTGAGGAATGAGCTATTCTGCTTACATCACTTATTCCACTATTTTTTTTTTTCTGTATACGTCACCTTGCTTGTTTCCGTCCTTCCTGTGTCTGAGGAAGAAATAGCCTTGTTCCTGCAAAGGCAAGCTTTTCATGGGTCTTTCCCTCACTTCTGTTTTATTAAATGTTTTGGTAAAAGTAATCTATGTTAATTGGATACAAAACAAAAAGTGCTAAGATGTCTACAGCAATCTTCCTCTCAGAAACAATTGTCTAGAAAACATAAAAATAAGATATAAATCATATTAGCAATAAAGAGCATAATTTATGTAGTAATTAACCCAATCAAGGATTTTTATGAAGAAAGTTAAACACGCTACTATACAACATAAGAAAACCACATACCAAATTCATGGACTAAATGAAATAACATTTATGAAGATATTAATTCTCTTCAATCAACCAGGCCATTCAAGCCAATTCAAATAAAAAATTGACATGCTTTCTCCCCACTCTCGAGTTTTTTTGAGATATGATTGACATATAACATTGGATTAGTTTTAGGTGTACACCATGATGATTTAGTATGTGTGTGTATGTATAGATAGATACGTAGATATGATTACCATAATATACTTACTTAATCACCACACTTCACATAGTTACATATTTATTTATTTTTTAAAAAGATTTATTTATTTATTTATATAAGCACTAGGTACAGTCAGAAGTGCGGGAGGGTGAGAGAATTCACCAGAGTCAGAGTGGGGAACAGAGCAGGCAAACCAAAAAAGCACACTGCTGAGGGGAGCAGCGGGCGGCAGGAGAGGTCTGTGCGCCATGTGGGACCCTCTCCAGAGGCCAGGGATCGAACCAGCGCTGCAGAGGCTGTGGGCAGCTTCGAACCCAGCGCTCAACCGCTGTGCCACCGGGGAGACCCACATAGTAACATATTTTTGTGATAAAAACTTTGAAGATATACTATTTTAGCAACTTCCAAATATTCCACAAAATATTGTAAACTATAGTCTCCATGCTGGACATGACATCCCTGGATATTATATATATTGTAGCTGGGGGTTTATATCTTTTGATTCACTTTACCTATTTTTCCCACCACCCCTATCCTCCTAACAGGACCTTTTAGTACTCAACAACTGACTCATAGAAATATAAAGTATATAATAGTTAAAACATTTTTGTTATTGTTGAAAAAACCACAGGCAGGGGGAACGTTTAGACTCACCATTCTTAATATTAAAACATTGGCGAGAGAATGAGAAAGAGAAGAACCACCCCCCCCCCCACACCGCCAATGCAGTAGAACAAACAGCATAGGACACACACATTCACATATATTTGTGTATCCTATCTGATAATGCACATAACATATAATAGAGATATGCATCGCAAATGATGAAGAAAGCATAGAATTTTGTGGGAACTAGTGAGAAAACTAGCTTATTAAATAGAAAAGAATAAAGTTGGATACCTACCTCATACCATATATAATAGTGAGCTGCACAGGGGTTAAGACTAACTGCAACAATAAAACCATAGAGTTATAGAAAAAGCATAGACAATGCCCTTTTCTGTGCCCTTTCAAGGTTGATTCAGTGCTTTAAGAGGCTAACACAGAAGGGTAAAGTTAAGTCTCCATAAAACCCAGAAAAGAAATTATAAAACTCCTCTTTGGGGCCTATCTGAAGTTATAGCTGAACAACAAAAACAAATAACAAAACAAGAAAAAAAATAGGCAAATATTATAGTGATTGTGGGATATGAAATGAACTCTTGAACTAGATCCCAAAGTAGAAACCAAAAGAATAAGCTTGATGGACTTTGATATATCACTATCAAGGATTTAAGTTCAGTGAAATTTTCATTTCATGGACAAAGTTTGCAGAGAGATGATGGAGTAGAAGAAATTACTTTTAATGTTGAAGAGAGAGAGCACCAACAGAAAAATGGGCAAAGATTGAGCAAAGTCAGTTCCCTGAAGGGGAAAAATAAACAGCTAACAGGTATGTGAAGAGATGATCAAACTCATCAGTAATCAAAGAAATTAAAGGAGAACAAAATAACATAACTTGGCAAAAAGTTTTAAGAGGGACAATATTGTTAGCAAAGGTATAAGGAAACATCTCTTATGCTCAGTTGATAGGTATATAACTCTTTTCCAAAGATCTATTCTCTTAGCAACTTTCAAGTATACAATGCACCATTGTTAAATATAGTCACTGTGCTGGACATGGCATCCCCAGGACTTCCTTACCTAATACATAAGGTCCATTGTTCTGAGGAGAGTTTCAGTAGTGCTTGTTGAAATCTAGTGTGTGACTTGTCTGGGACACACTCCCTTTTGTTAACCCCAAGAAATTCCTTCTCAGCTCCAAGTAGAGGGTCATGTATGAGGCTGTTCATTGAAATATTTTTTTTTAAAGATTTATTTATTCATGCACACAAGAACTGGGGTAGAGGCCAGAGGTGTGTGTGTGGGGGGCGGGGCGGGGGGGGGCGGTAAGAAGATTCACCAGAGACAGAGTGAGGAACAGGACAGGCAGATTGACTGAAACACACTGCTGAGGGGACCAGCGGGCAAGACAGGAGAGGTCTGCTGCACCATTTGGGTTGCTCCCTGGCTGGGGATCGAACTCGTGCTGCAGAGGTTGCGGACAGCTTCATAGGTTGCATCTTAACCCCTTGCACCACCTGGGAGGTCCCCATTGAAATATTTTTTAGTGTGATTTGGAAGCAAATTAGGTGTTCATCTTTAAGAGAATATGAGTTCAACAACAACCAAAAACCCCATCTGTTCTACAATATTTATAGCAGCATCATTTACAATAGCGAGGACATGGAATCAGCCTAAATCTTCTTCAATGGCTGAATGGATCTAAAAGATGGGGTTCATACATTCCATGGAATATTACGCAGTCACCAGAAAAGATGATATGTGGCCATTTTCAACAACAAAATAGAGACAATTTGTAAAAATGATATGCAACAAAACAAGTCAGAATGATATAAACCAAAAACAAATATTGGATATTCATATAATGGACAAATCAACAACATAAAACACTTTCAAAAGCTACTGGACATAACAAACATTCTGAGGACTCTAAGACTGAGGTGGGGGGGCATGGAAATGGACAGGGCACACAAGCGATGGTGACAGGGAGAGGAAATATTAATACCTGTCAGTAGTTTATAGGTTAATTTTAAAAAGTTCAGCAACAAAAGAAAATGATGGGTATAAAAGGAGATTTGTTGGGCCTCCCTGGTGGCACAGGCAGTTGAGTGCCACACTGTGAAGCTGTCTGCAGCCTCTGCAGTGCTGGTTTGAGCCCGGCCGGCTGGGGAACTACCCACCTGGCTCAGCAGACCTCTCCTGTCTTGCCTGCTGCTCCTGTCAGCAGTGTATTTCGTCAGTCTTCCTGTTGTTACCTGCTCTGTCTCTGGTGAATCCTCTCACCCTCCCGCACCTCTGGCCTGTACCCTGGTTCTTCTATAAATAAATAAATCTTTAAAAAAAAATAAAAGGGGATTTGTTTACATTGACATATTATGCAGTGACTGGAAATTATAAGACCCATGAGGTACACAAGGTGACACAGATCCTCATGGGCTTGGGTCAAAAAGGAAGCAGAATGAAATTGTAGCAAAACATTTCACAAAATGTTTTGTGAACATGCTATGTAAAGTATGTACTTTGTATATGTATTATGTTTTACACATGTATGTAAAACATAATATACAAAGCAGTCCTACGTGTCTTTCAACGACAGTCCTTATACTCAGTGACCTCTACTCAATATTTTTGGGAAAAATGGAGGTAGGTATGGAGCTATATTGAGAAATATGAGGGGACTCAATAGACCTGTGGTGATGTTGTGCTTTAACTGTGTGATGAGAGCAACTCTGCATCTGTGAAAAAATGCGTTCACTCACACTAAGAACATTTAGTCATTCAACAGTCACAGAGCCATAGCTGGAAGTTGGGGGAGAGTAACCCCACATCACCCAAAGCCCAGCTCTTAGAATCCCACTTTGGATATTTGATACACCTGTGCTCTTCTCTCTGCCTCCTCCTCCTACTGAATTGTTGAGTAACAAAGATTATTCTTGTCTGCTGCAACACACTTTCCCTTTGGAATGCTGTCAAACCTGTGCTACCAAACTTGCTTTCTTCCTATCCTTAAAAAAAAATAACCCAAACATTCTCTTAACTATCATCCTCTGACTTTCAGTTTCTTGTGTTAAGAAAATGTCTTCAAACATAACCAACCTGACTTACATATGTTCAATTCTCCATCTAGAATGATTATCCTTTCTTCTACCTTTCTTTTAAAACCCATTTTCTCAAAGGTCATCCAACTATTTTCCATTTTATTTTATTTTATTTTATTTTATTTTTTAATTTTACATATTTTTTACATCATTATTCATTTCTTGCACAATATCAACCAGTCTTTTCTCTGTTTGGATAAAGAAGCATTTATTAGGTTGCTTTTATTATCTTGCTATATAGGAGTGATGTCAGGACCCAAGCTAGGTGCTGGGGCTATGAGAAGATGTTAGCACAGTCCCTGCATGTTCCAGGAGTCATACTTTGGTTAGAAAGGCAAGGGGAACATGGACAATCTTAATATGATGTTGTAATTCCAGAGGTAAGGCATGCCCAAGTTTCTCCTGGAGCTCAACAATGAACTTTGGATTGAGAGACAGTTTTTAGAGCATATTCAGTCTGAGTATTAAACGATGAACAAGTCAAATAAGAATAAGGAAAAGTAGACAATGGACTGTCAAGCCTAGTTGCACAATTGAGTTTACTAAAACATTAGTGCTGTAGCCCCAACCCAGACCAATGAAATCATATTGCCTGGGGGTAGAAGTAGACATGTTTTTCAGAAGTTCCTCTGTGAAGTTAAGTGCATCCCAATCTGAGAACCACACTCCCAAACCTGCAGAGGTGCTAGAGCAAGAATTCGGGGTGTGGAATGGTGTAGGCCACATCGCTGGTATGTGCCTTCCATCCTGGACTGTCACACTCCAAAGAACATTCTCATCCACTCCTCATGTCAGTTTCCACATGACTGAGATGGTATTAGGGTATGTTATTTTTGGTTTGGGTTTTGCTTGCTTCCATTGAGGATTATTGTGTTCCTCATGGGTGGCCTTCTCACTGAGGAACCCAGGTTTGTGAGGCATTCACTGTTTGGGGCCAGTTTCCTTGTCACTGGAATACTTGTAACAAGAACAATCAGAAAGCAAAGTGAACTCAAGGGCCAAAGGCAGCTGGATATGTCCGTCTGAGTTTCCACAATGAAATGTGACTTGAGTGTAGTGATGTTATTGTTTGTGGGTCCAGTGCTCTCTTGCGGAACTCACATGTTGTACTTTTTTTGTTCTTACATCTAATTCTTCTACTTTCAATTTCCTAACCCAAGTTCTGGCCTTGCAGGAAGAATAAAAGTTGGATTTCCAAGATTTCAGCACTTTCCATTTTACTCAAATAGAAGCTCTCTTTCATCTTCAGAGGGTAAATGTATATAAAGATGATTTATTGAACCAATCAGAACATGTCCCCACCCTAGCTCCATTTCTCCTTTTCTGTTTGTGGAAGTCCATTGAGGGGATGATTCCAAGGCGTTGACACCCTCCAGCTTCCTCTTATCTTTGTTTCTCATGTTTATAAATCACAACATTGTTTTCCTAATTCTATAGGATTTCAAAGAACTTACCCTTGAGGAGTCTCTCGTAATCCCCAAATCAACATTTTGGTTCAATCCTATATTATGGATTAAGAAACTGAGGTTCAGAGACATGAGACAAGGGCTCAAAATATTTCTCAAATATTTGCAACTCCTGACAGCTACCACTGTCTTCTACTTTGTATAATTTTCTTCTTTTAAGGAGCCAAAATATTCTTTCATTTACTCACTCAACTAGAACTTTTAAAAAACCTGACATTGGACCAGCATCAGGGGACTCTATCTACAAGGTCCCTCATTTTGGAGGATGACTTCTTAAAAAAAGATGTGGTTTGTGGCTCACCAACAGACTTTCTTTCTCCTTGTAAAACGGAGTTTGTTCAGGAAACAAGAACATTGTCCTTGATCTCACGACAGCTAGATTTCTCAGTTCTCTGTGTTCACAGGATGGTCTAAACCAGTCCTGGTTTATTTTTTTTTAAAGATTTATTTATTTTTGCATACGAGAACTGGGGTACAGGCCAGAGGTGTGGGGGGTGAGAGGATTCACCAGAGACAGAGTGGGGAACAGAACAGGCAGAACTGAAATACACTGCTGAGGGGAGCAGCGAGCAAGACAGGAGAGGTCTGCTGCACCATGTGGATACTCCCTGGCTGGCTGGGCATCGAACTCATGCTGCAGAGGCTGGGGATAGCTTCATAGTGCTATGCTTAACCACTTGCACCACCAGGGAGACCCTGGAAAAGTTTTAAGGGGAAATGTGCTGAGCCAGGCTTTCTTTTTCAAGTAAAGGTCAAGGGATAATATCAAAGCCCTTGTAATGCGCCTTTCTCCTTTCCAAAGATGAACTTGATGGCTCGTCATACACCAGCTGCCCAGTCACCAAGCTGTGATGAGAAACATGGCGTAGCAGAAAGAGAAGACTCAGGCTTTGATGATATTTTTGAGTTACTGGGTTAACTATGTTCAGATTTATTATTAAGAGAGGAAAAACAAACT